TAGAAAGTTTTGTGTTCATACTTGACACACATGGGTAAGGGGGGGGGGAGTAGTTGCTTCCCACTGCCAGAAGAGGGAGGGGCTGCACTGGGTCACACGGGGGTGTGGGGAGGGTGGGGGGTGTTTTCCAAAGGGGACAGAAGTACTCTAACTCTCGACTGTGGCATATTTATAGGAACACCATCTGATAAAACTCACCGATTTGATTGTACATGGTAAGTGGGAGAAGTTTACTGTATCTATATGATAACATAAAACCGAAGGAAATAAGGTTAAAACAAAGACTATCCAGTGAGTCTGAGTGGACTGATGAGTGTCAAAGTATACACTTGGTGAAATGCTCACAGATCCTACCCAGACAATGGAGAACGACACGACACAAGGCATCTGTTGTCTTTGTTTCATGGTTTAACAATCTTCCTAGAACATTCAGAGTGCACAAAGTGAGGAACGCTCCCACCCCCACAATTCTCAGTGCCAAGAGTATATTCTGTGTTCTTCAAAACTGATTTGACACTTTGCCCCAAGACACATAGATCATTCTCCTCACACATACTGCCCCCTTCCTAACCAGCTTCTCAGTGTCAATAGTGTAGATTTATGGGCTGGGGATACTTCTGTAGATAAAGTGCTTGCCAAACAAGCACGTGGACCTGAGTTCAAATCCCCAGCACCCATGTAAAATTGGGACATGGTGATAAACTCCTGTGACCCCAGGAAAGAGGGTCAGGGAGTGACAGGTGGATGGGGGTGCACAGAGAACACCCTGGCCAGCCAGTCTGGCCGAAACCATGAGCTCCACATTTAGTGTGAGAGAACCTGTTTCAAAAATCAGTGGAAAATGATAGATGCCTACTTAGTTCTCAAGCCTCTACATGCATATGCACCCATACCCACTAATACAGATTTACTAAGGTCTCAATGTTATCAACTCTTTAAAATTTTATGTGTATAGATATTTTGCTCACATGTATGCATATACACAGGCATGCCTCATGCCCTCCAAAGCCGAGAGAGGCATCAGATCCCCTGGAACTGGCATAATGGTTGGTTGTAAGCCACCATGTAGTTGCTGGGAATTGAACCTGTGTCCTCTGGAAGAGCAGCCAGTGCTCATAATAATGGCCCAGTCAGCACACCAGACTCTATCAACCATCATGATTTATGACTTGAATTATGCGAAACATCGCCTTTAAGTAGTTTGTTAATAATGGGCACTTAAAAGTTCTTTTTACAGTTTTTCAAAATTATTAACAGCACTAAGTGACTATCTTAGTGCTTTAAAATCCATGTTTATACAAGCTGGAGATGCAAACACATGGACACTTTGGTCTGTAATTTTAACCTGCCTTACCAAAATGATCTATTGTTTAGTCACCCATTTCTCCATGCTCTTTGCCATGGACACCGCTACAGTTTCAACAGTTGAAAGGAATTCTAAAAGTTTTATTTTTAAGATTTTTTTCACATTTTCATGTATACTTGGTTTCAGCTGACCATCATCCTCACTCTTTCCTCTTTGACCTCCATGCTCACTTAACCGCTTTTCTAGCAGGTCAGTGATCTTCCTTTTATTGGTGCAAAATCCTTGTCATCTTTCCATGCCAAAGGCTGATGAATGAGCTCCAGGATCCATCCTGTTACTATTCTTTTAGTAATGAAACCGTCCACCTAACCAAGTAGCCATTCTCCTGCATCTCAGAGTCACACAGTGACCATATTTAGGTCACTGGTAGGGTGGAAGAAGAAAGTGAAAAGTACATTATTTTCCAAGTCATTACATGGAACTTCCAGGCTAAGGTGTCTCTGGCTGGATTCTCCGTCCCTACTGCGGGGAAATTTCAACAACTACATCCGTGCTTTGACCAGGCAGTGAAGATTCAAGGGGAGAACAGAAGAGCCAGGCTATCTGCAGGGAGTGGCTTCCACGACACCCTTCAAAACCAGAGATATTATTTTAGCCACTGATTTTGGGGGTGTCTTCCAAGAGTCCAACTTACATTCTACCTAATACAGGCACTATTCAACTTTAGTTATGATCTCAGGGATGTTTAACATTAGGATGCAGACCTTGCATATTAATGATTCTTCACAACAGGTTAGTTGTTCTGTGAATTTCTAAAGCAATTCAGGTACCCAAAACTCTTTAAAATATTATTCTGTAGCTTTTCTATGGTAACACTGATAAACTTCTGAGCATTATCTAGGAAATAATTGAGTTTCTTATGGAGATTAGAAACAAAACAAAAACCCCCAAACTGCCAGATAGAATATAAACAAGGTTTGAGCTCCCCATAGAGGAACTAATAGCAGCACACAAAGCTACAGGGATGTTCACTGTCCAACTGATAATTCTACCCAATCCTGAAAAACTAATCACTGCTGCATACACAGGCTCACGTAAAGTGCCTTCAGCAAAGCGCTTATTACAATAGAAGTATCAGGATCATCTGAAAGGTCAACCACGAGCCTACTTAACTGATTAAATGAAATGTGAACTAGTGATATTTTATTAACAAGTACTGACAATGGTCATTTATCCAACTAACTTACTAATGCCATGCACTGGCACATTTAAGACACATAATCCTTGCACTAAGTCCGGGAACTGGCATTAGTGTTGCCTTCTTTGATAACTGAGAAAACTGATGCAGAGGGAGAGGGAACAACCTGCCCAAGGTCACATGGCTGAAAAGAGGCAAAACTGAAGGAGCCAACACCTATGGACTCACACCTGCACCGCTGTGCCCATAACTACACACAGACCCACACACGTACATATTTAAAAATAAAATAAATCTTTAAAGTGATGTAATGTTCAAAATTTATCCAGCATTACATTTTTACCAACCTTGCACAGGAATGAATTCTATAAAGGCAATATTCCAAACTGTTTGTTCCTTTAAATTATATTGCTTATAATTCAATTTCTAAAATTATTAACAATTATGTATGTTAGAGATTTGCATGAATATATGGGTATGCATATAATTACTTATTCATGCATGCCTTTTATAAGTATACTGTACATATGTATATATTGCATGTAAAAATTATATGGGAAATTTTTTTCAATAGAACTAAATCTGAAAAAAAGCAAGCCTTTGTAAACATGGCATACTTCTAGGGAACATTCCAGCTAGCTTTTCTCTTTATTAACATTTTTATTTATCGTGTGTGTGTGTGTGTGTGTATGTGTGTGTGTGTGTGTGTGTGTGTGTGTGTGTGTGTGTGTGTGGAAGGGAGAGAGAGAGAGATCTTGGAGGAGTCAGTTCTCTTCTCCCACCATGTGAGTCCCAGGGTACCAGTTGTGGCAGGAGGTACCTTTACTACCAAGCCATCTCACCAGCCCTACTTGGTTTCTCTTCTAGAAATGAGTTCTTGTTAGGAAAAACTACTGAGAGTTTGTTTTATTTTATGCTTGGTATTTCAGTCTAAAACTCTGAAACAGTTCAAAATGAAGTCCCTTACTCTAGCCAATCCACTACCATACAGCCAATGGCAAGTAAATGTAACCAGGACTTTATACTTGTACATTCACAAATCCGTTATAACATAATAGATTATGTCTGCATCTAAAAAATTGCCAATTGAAACCAACAAAGTAGCTACATTGAATTCTACTTTATTTTACCCCAAACATCTTTGAGCCTTTCTCCCTTTTCAGATTACAGACTCAGAAGGAAGAGCTTCTGCCCTTACAGCGCTGTGCTGTTTCCTCACTGCAGTTAGGACCACCCGCCTGCCACACAACACTGTAACCATCGTGGAGGGCCATTCTGTAGTTTCTGAACATCTGACCTTCCTCCTTTACCTGTCTACTGACCCCTCTTTGTAGTCCTTAGTCTTGCATAATGGAAAGGGAGCCAATGAATAAACAGCATAAAGTTTTAATTGAACCTAATTTTGGCTTCTTATTAACATATATTCTTCCAGCTGACACACAAGCTACAAAGTCACAGTATGAGAAAACCCTGTATAGCGAGCCAGTGAGATCAGAATGAGGAAACGCTTTCAAGTGAGTTTCACTTAATAACAAGATTTTCCTTATTAGATTAACTTAAACTACTGTGAATCTCAGCACAGAAAACCTGGGTCATACAGAGGAACAAGAATCCAAGTGCAGGGGCTGGAAAGATGGATTCAATCAGTAAAGAACTTTACTGCACAAGCGGAGGCCTTGACTTTGGATCCTCAGTGCCCAAGGAAAAGGCCAGGCAAGGTTTGCACACCACACTATGTTCCCTGTGGCTTCCACAGACGTGCATAATATGTACATGGTGGGTGAGTACACTAGTGCATGGGCACACACACATCAACAAAGAGATAAAAAATTTTAAGTAGCATAACAATATGCCAATGCACAGAGCATGTATTTGAGTAAACTTGCTATTACTGAGGCTTTAAAACATGCTGCATTTCTAAAAATTAACTTTCATAATTATGAGTCTATGTATAGAGATCTTAACAGATAATGAAATATTTTATCAACTTATCAGTCATGAGTAGACCCATGTTGTCCTTGAGAACGCTACATTTAGGATTATAGTAAATCCTATGACAAGGATTTACTCTGCAGCAAGACTGTACCAACAAACCTATTGGAGAACGTGTCCACAGTTTCTTGCGTATAATACGCTCAAATCGTTTTTAAAAATTAAGGCATTCTCATAATCACCTAAACAATTCATATTTTCCCAAATGATACAGATGCCTGGGAATAACAGAAATGCCCAAATTATTAAAAGAGAACGTAACAGTTATGAGGAACAGCTACTAGCATATTAGCTGCCTATTAGTAATAAATACGATCAAAATAAAAGAGAAATACAGAAAGAAAAAGCAAGTCATTTTCTTACACACAGGGCAAACAAACCCCATGAAACAGTCCCGATGCATAGCACCAAAATAAAGCCGTCTCAGAAAAGAATTGCAATCACTGTTACCCATTTGCTGCCAATTAAGTTTCCAACCACCGAGATTGCATCAGGCCTGCATACCAAGTTCATCGTGCAAACTGCTGCCGCCTACAGCAGATGCATGGTCATGTGAGGCTTCTAAGTGGACACTCCCTTTTCTCACCAGCAAGGAGGCACTAGCACTGAGCACTGCAGCCTGGGATGGGGGGCGGGACTGGACTTTGACCTGGGCTGTGGACTGCTGGCCTTGCTGACCATCTTGAAGGCTAGGAGAAAACACGGATTGGGGAGACATTACAGGGAAGAAAAGAGAAAACAATAGCTAGAATGAAATCAATATAGAACACTGATTTCAAAAATGACACTTTTTCAAATAACCAAAGGAAGAGCCAAGAAGCTCTGTACAATTACACAGTTTACACTTGTTCTGGTCCTTACCAATCTGATTCATAGGGAGGAATGCAGTAAATATTTAATATAAATGTTAACTGTCAATCTGCAACTTTATTCCAGCTCAAACCAACTAGGTTCTCGAGTGAAGAAGGGAGAGCAACAAGGGGCCACTTAAGCAACGTGGCTCAGTGCTGGGCTCCAACGGGTAAAATTCACCGTCGTCATTTTATTGTTCCCCTCTAATGTTCTAGATCGCAGACTCAGATACACAATAAAACAAAGTTCCTACACATGAGAAAACCAAAGACTATCTATCAAATGCAACCAAAATACATTGGTAAGCAAAAGAACACCACAAACTACTGCAGAAGAACCAGAACACGTGACTCAGCTGAGGGAAACACAATGGCCATGGGGATATTGGAAGGAGAATGAATATGAAGTATTATTTATAAAAGCTTTCATATTCTGAAATAAGGCTACAAGAGTTACAGATAAAACATAGATAAAAATCATGTTCTTTTAACCAACTGTTAACATTCTTTTCCATTTGTCCATTCTGCATTCTCATTAACAAGGATCCATTATTTTAGAAAAATCTTAACTGGGAAACCTTAATTTCTCAAAGGATGTTCTAATGTTTTATAAATTTCAAAAATTTTGTATTTTGTTAATATAATTATTTTATTTATAAAACAAATTTTTCTATATTGCTTATTCATTTGTTTTTGATTATTTAAGATAATATAAATGTTATTAACGTTCTTAATGCCAGATTTATTTTAATTTAAACAGCTGAAATTCCTGATGTGTCCTACATTGGAGCACAATGTCCCAGCATGCTTCTCTCAGTGAATTTAAGTATATTCTGAGCAATTCCAGAGGCTGGCACTAAAATACTCATAACAGGAAGGATGTTGCTCAAGATGGCCTTGTTTAAGTCAGTAGCTAATAATGCCTGGTTGCCATACTGGACAGCATGCATTATAGAATACTGAACCCATCATGCAAGGCCTATGAATTAGCACACTGACATTTCAGCTCTGATTTCAAACCACTGAGAAGTATGCATTCGAAGTCAGGTACAGGAATGCATCTAACAAGAGAAAAGCGAGCCTGTACATTTTGATTGCTGATCACACTGGTACTGCTTAGCCATGCTGCAAAGCATCTGTTAGTAGTTTTCTCAGACTATTTTCCTAATAGCCATTAGTCAAGAGAGGATTGTGAAACGCTGGCCACGCAGCTCAGAGTCTTTGCCTACATTTTTCAAACAATGGGTTCATCTCCAGTACTGCAAATTTAGCGCAGGAAAAAAAAAAGAAAAAAAAAAAAAAGATGATCATGTTAATTGAACAGTTTTTATCTTCCACTCATGGCTGATGTGTCCCTCTTCACAGAAGCAATCTAAACTTATCCACAAACCTCATCAAAATGAATAGGTTTTACACGACAGGGAAAAGTCCCAGGAAATTCAAATATTGCGGACTTTTAAATACAGACTAAGCTTACATTCAACCAAAAAACACTGTGCTCAAAATTGTCTCAGTTTTTTTTTTTTCCCCACTTAAAGTCATAAGCAAAGGTCATATTACGGTTAGTCACATTTTAATGTGAACAGATCTAAGAATATTCTAATAATCAAAGATGCACAGTCTACCTAAATATACAAAATGTTTTCAAAATATTGAACAGTGCATTAGAGTCAACATTCCTAGCTTAAATGACAGATACACAGCTGGTCTTAGCCATCCCTTCCTCTACATACCAAGTCAGGACCTGGCAACTCTGCCTTACACTGTCAGTACCTAGGTTAAGTATTCCCCCCAACTTAAATGTAAATTCTAAGAGCATGACTCCATTATTGCAAAGAATATACAGGTTCCGGAGAAAAGAATGTCCTGAATATACAAAACGAAACAAAAATGATGAACTCATATAAACACAAAATGACCCCATGGATTTCTAATCATATATTCTCAACCATGACTGTGATCTCATTTTATTATAGATATTTTAATCTCTTATTTTAAATGAAGCTTTTTGTTCTTCACCAAAATAAGATGATTTCCTTCTACTCCAGTCCACTAAGGACTCAAAAGAATGACATTTAAGGCAACAAATATCAAGCTCGTTATATTATAAACATTTTTTAATATTTGTCTTTATTTTAGCTATAGTCACTAAGAAGAATTAGTGAGGGCCTAAAAACTCCACCTACCTACAAAGCTAACTTAATTTTTAAAATTTAAATAATTCTTAAGGAGCTTATTCTAATAAGATTCTAAAAAGCATGCAAACTGTCTTTGTGAGGAAGCTGCTGGCTTAATCCTAATTCTTATACATATGTATTTTATAACATGCCTTTTGGGATAGTTAACCACCAAAGTTTACAATAAGCTTTCACAGTCTCTTTTTCTGAAGTTTTGCTTTCTTTTGATTTTAGTTACCTACAGACAATATCAATCTGAAACAGTCATACTTTTTAATGCCCTTTCATATTTTATGATTGCTTTACTTTGTTAGTGGTTATTGCTGTTGATTTCTTGCTGGGCTGAATTTATAGATTACACTGTACCATAAGAATGAGTCAAAGTGGGGAGGGGACATACACACATATAGGGCTCTGTATGAGTTGTGGCTCCAAGATGCTGTAGGAGCCTTAAGAACATGTCTGCCCTGGCCCCATGGATAAGGTAACTATTACAGAAGATTTTACTGGTATTTATATAGCACTTGCAGTGAAAGTATTGCCATGTCTGTTCTACTAATTTTTAACAAAATGTTTCCCCAAAGTTTAAATAGTCATTCTATTCTATATTTAGTTAAAGACAACATTATTAAGACGTTCACACTAAAGAACAATGGCAATTTACTTATCCTGGGATTTCCCCAATTATAAAAAATAATTAACCAAGTTGGTATCTCTCCTAACTCTTCACAGCTACATGCTATTTAGTTTCACCCACAACAGGGCCCATTTGTTAGAGGTATGCAACATGTGAGCCTGGGGTCTCAGCAAAGCCTGCACGCTGACTCTAACAGCAGACTCTCAAAAGGCCACATGTGTGATGACATCTCGCTTGGACAAATAAAGCCTGTCTGAGGGTCAGAGAATGGAGATTGTCACTAGCTAACCATGGAGGTCTGTACAGACAGACAGGAAGTGAGGTAGCTGGGCAGAAACAGGATATAAGCTGGGAGAAACAGGAAATGGCTCTCATCTGTTGAGATGCTAAGGAGGTAAGGTGTGCTGTGGCTTGCTCCTCCTCTCTGATCTCTCAGCATTTCCCTCTATACCTGACTCCAACTTTTTATTATCTAGACCAATTAAGAACTCCATTTACACAAATGGAAGCCCTGCAGGAGAACATTCCAAACCATTTTCTAAGTCTTGCTACATTTAAAGTTCCAGAAACAAGTAGTGTGTGACTGGTCTGAGTTGGAAGGATAACTCTCATTGATATTCCACCAGACAGAGAAAGAAAACTACCCTGTATACAAATGTTCAGCAAGTTCATGGCAAAGAATGAAAGAATTTCTTAAGACTAAAATAGGTTTAAAATGTTTATAAAAGGGAAACATGGAGAAAGCAGGTAGGCAAAGGGCTGATCTACAGTGAGCATGATTCAAGGGGCAAAAGGAGGCGTGAGCCAAAGACAGCAGGAGTTGCTGCTGTTAACCCTTGCACATGGGGGCTGTGGCTATGCTCACCAGCAGAGAGAAGAGTCGAGCCTGTGGCAGGGAAGGTAGGGACGTGGGAAGAGGACACAGAAGTGGAGGGCTCCAAACGTTTCTACAAGAAATGAACCTTTAAATTGGTTACATTTCTGCTTTTATGTTTTAAGTGTTGTCTATATATAAATATGCTTCATGAAGTTGTATATTATTTATGGAATTAGAAAATGAAGATTAAATTACTGGATATAATGTAAGACTCAACAACAAAAGAAACCAAGTTTTAAATCTCAGGGGAATATAAAATGAATTTAAAAAATACATCTGCAATTCTGATAAACAAGTTTGAAAAGGGGAAGGGGAGCGTTTGTGTCTTCTAACCTACCAAGCATTCAAGAGACACTAATCTTCTTCCTAAAGAAGTGGGGAAGCTCGAGGGAGAACATGGCAGAAAAAACACCTCCACAAAGGTGCTTCAGGCAGAGAGATAAGGCACACTGCATCGTGTGCACACTGCTTAAGCAAGCACGTGGGTCATGTAATGTTCACATTTGTCCTTGTGAAATAAAGCACAAGTCTTCTGAAAAGATCTTCATACTTCTAAATCAAAACGTGGATTCTTTAGACTCCCAATGCTCAACAGGGAATTATCCCCAGTATCATAAATGGGTGTTCTCTTAGTTGAGAATATTGAAAAAATAAGTTTTTAATACACAACAGAGGCTGAGAAATTCAACATATCTCTACATGTAAACATGTACATAGCTGGTCATACTTTATATAATTATTTTAGTTCTGTGTCCTTCACTAGGTTCAAATTTTACAGTGTCAATAAAATGTAACCTTTCAGTGACATGAAATAATCAACCTGACTTCATATGATGAGGTCAGATCTCTATCTCTCAATAAGGCCACCATATGTCCTTTAATTGTTCATATCAAACACTGTCAAGACCCTTCACTAATATAATTAATTTAGAGTAGGTAAAAGGATAAATCTAACTTAACTGCTACTTCTACAAATGTTAACATGCTTTTGCAATTTAAAAATTGGGCAAAATCAGTCTGACAGCTTTGTTTCAACAGTGCAACAGGAGACATGCATAAAGCAGTAAGATCATGGTCACATGCAGAAGAAACCTAAGAGTTGGAAATGTATAGAAGAGAAAGAAAAGAAAAGCAGGCTCTTCAAAGGCTTGCCTGGGTTGGAAAGAACAGGTTAGAAGATTGACTGCATGCATGCTAAACTTGGTGGAATTGTAAAATACCATACCTTAGGGGCGATCCGATGAGCAAGGTAGGAGGGGTAGGGTTACTCCCTGCATTGTGTCGGCGCCGTACTGCCTGGCGCCTAAATGTGCTGCGTTCACGGCGAAATGCCACTGCCTCCTCGCTGGCCTGTGCTGCTGTATCAAGACAGACTTAGGTCAAATAGGAGCCTAGGTCAGAGATGAAAATAGCAGCCGAGCCTGTCTCTCCCTAGACTTCCCACCCTCTCAGGAAAAGGAACAGTTGGGTCTTCTGGCACATTAGGGAATATATACCAAGTATGTGCCCTTTCTCCAAAGTTAGTTTTTTTGGAAAATAACACTCTGGATCTATTACCTGACCTCACCAGCTTCTCTTCATCCTTACTTCCCATTCTGAGGTCTCTGCAGCTTTAAATGTTTTCTTGAAAGCCTCATTACTGTTGGCACATCTTCACTCTCCCTTTAATTAATGGAGCTTTCAAAAGCTGTTAGTTTTTCTACTGGGAAGGAGTACTCATTTCTTTCTTACGGGACCAGTGAAAGCAGTACAAACACCAAGATTCTCCCTGACTTTGGCCTGGGCTACAGTCTGATCAACCATCATTAACCCAAAGCACCAGGGGCCAATAGTACACTTCATACACAGCAGGGGACGTCCCTGCCTGGAGCTGTGAGCTGTGGCTTCTACTGCAGCCCAACCCAGAAACAGTAATTTATTGCCTATCACTCCCCAGGAAAAGAGCAAAATTCAAAGTACGGTTCCTACCAAATGGTTCCACATTCTTATCACCTTGAAGGTAAAAACAGTGAACTGCCCGTCTTCAGACTATTCACTGGAGATGCCAAGGAGTAGGGCAGTGAGCTGCAGCCCCCAGCACCGCAGGCTATAATTCTGAAACCCACCGCAATTTGGCAGAACTAGCTTGTCAAATATAATCTGAACTGGAAAGTGCTTCATTAAAACTTTATTTAAAAACTTTAAGGCCCCAGTCTTAGTCTCCTCAACATTGGGAAGCAGATATAAATAAAAGCCAAGCATGGAAGCTCACTTAAGCTGGGTTCAATACAGAACAACAATAAAATCCTAACAGTTGCCACGTGGAATTTCACACATTTTGATAAAACCACACTAACTGTCCAAACTGGGTTTCCAAGACAAATATAAAATGATTTTCACAGGTGAATATGAAACAACTGTTCTTTCCCCAGTAATCTTGGTGTTCTAGAAATCTTAGAGTTTGAGGAAGGCTATTTTCATGGTACACATGAGCAAAGAAGAAACTCTGTACAGAAACATTTTTTCCAAACATAAAAGGTCCTTTCAATACAACAGTTTGTGTGTGAAAACTATACATGTCCAATGAAAACTATGAAGCTGATTTAATCTGGTCATCTAGGACTGACTGTCTAATACAGTAGCCACTAACCAGTCAGGAGTAGCTATTCAAAGTCCTGTTAATGGAAACTGACCCTTCAGCCATTCATTTCCGAGTCACACATGGACACTCAGTAGTAACATGGAGCATGCCAACCACTGCTAGACAACTCGGACGCAGAACTTTCCCATCACACCAGAAAGCAGACGTAGACATCAAGGCCGCTGCTCCAGCAGCGTGAACGTAAGGCATGTTCTGACTGCTGACAACCACAACCTCAATGAAATAAAAATGCATGCGCTCTGCATCATAAGAGAAGCAGTCACTGGATGAACAACAAGCCAGGTGAGGGAAGACAGGACAAGGACGCGAGGAGGTTACACCTGTTACAGTTCTTAGGCACCTGCACACATGGGCCAGGTCATAGATACAATTACTAGCTGTTAATGTAAGAGCTGCTGTGTGAGCCACTTCACTGAAAATTCTATTCTACAGTTGAAATAAACTATATCCCATTTTTTACAAACCATTACTTACTATTATATTTTGTTTGTATTATATTACAAACTATTATATTTACTGGCTGAATCAACTTCATTATGGACTCTTCAACCATTCTCTGTACTGTTGCAAATAAACAGAAAATTAACCCCAGGCACAATTCATGGGTAACTCTGGGAAAGCAGCATCTGATCACTGACTAGGGAAGTCAGGAAGAGGGAAATGGTTTTCTTTATTCATCTGTTTCTACTGAGGACTCTTACAGGTACTACTCTTACAGAAAAACCAAGACTCTAAGAAGGACAAGAAACAAAACACAAAATTTTAAAAACCCCAAATACAAATAGCAACAAGAAAAAACTAAACAAAAATATCTCTGAGTGTCCATTTTTAGTCAAAAGATCATTGACTAGATTGGACAGATGGTTCAGTGGTTAAGAACACTGGCTACTCTTCCAGAGGTCCTGGGTTCGATTCCCAGACCCCACATAATGACTCACAATCATGTCTACAGCTCCAGTTCCAGGAGATCCCATGTGCTCTTCTGGTCCCTGCACACACCAGCACACACATACACGCAAAACACTCACACATAAAATAGTAACAAAGAAAAAATCATTTGGCTTCTTTAAAAAAAAAAAACTTTAATTTTATACACTCATATTTTAATCTATAAAAGTTATACAAATTACTTATTTCCTTAATAGTTTTTAAACTATGTGTATATGCATGTTTGTGTTGGAATGTGCACATAGGTGTAGATGACCATAGAGGCCGGAAGACAGTGTTAGATCACCTGGAGCTGGAGGTACATGGATGCTGAGAAACTAACTCTATTCTTCAGTAAGAGTATTATGTGTTTTAACCATTCTGAACAGTATTTCCAGCCCCTTCTTGAAAACATATCAAGATAAAAGGTTAGGCATCCACTGCATGATACATTTGAGTTATGCTTACTACATATATTATCCTAATGGGTTTCACAAACCTATTGTTACAGGAATTTCCAGAATGCTCACTACGACAACTGCCTTAAAAATAGTTAAGATCACACATTCAAAAATGATATGCTTTAATTTATGGCCGTAGTATATAAGACTAAGTCACGGCTTCTGAGGAATGTGATTCTTATATAGAACATCTATATTTGTAACTGAGTAGTCCTAAATGGTAGTTGTATGGGAGCCACAGGAGAAAAGCGTAAATTCTAAGCATAGTCACATACAGTTTAACCATACTTAAAGAAAATTAAAAACACCTGTAGTAAATTGTTGTTTACTACATGTGTGTGCGTGCGTGCGTGCGTGCGTGCGTGTGTGTGTGTGTGCTGAGTGCACTTGCCCGAGCATGCATGCTAAGAGGCAAGACGTTCATAAAATAAGTGTTCAATGCTGAGTGTCTTCCTCTACCTTGCTTTTTGAGACAAGACCTCTTATTTAACCTGGAGCTCACCAACTTGGCTAGACTAGCTGGCCACTAATTCCCAAAGTGTCTCCACATCCAGGACTAGGGTTACATGTGCACACCACATGCATTTGGATATATATATATGCTTGTTTTACATATCAATCCCAGTTCCTACACCCTCCTGTCTTCCCGTTCCCCCCACCAACCCCCATTCCATCCCCTTTCTGCTCCCCAGGGAGGATGAGGCCTTCCATGGGGAGTCTTCAAGTCTGTCATATCATTTGGAACAGGGCCCAGACCCTCCCCCATGTGTCCAGGCAGGAGTATCCCTCTATGTGGAATGGTCCATTCGTATACTAGTGATAAATACTGATCTACTACCAGAGACCCCATAGACTGCCCCAGAGACCCCATAGTCCTCCCAACTAACACCACGTTCAGGGAATCTGGGCCGGTCCCATGCTAGTTTTCCAGCTATCAGCTTTTACATGGGCACTGAGGACCTGAATTTAGGTTCTTGTGTTTGCACAGGAAGTCCTTTACCTAATAAACCATCTCCTAGCCTTTTTTCTTTTCTTTTTTTTTTTTTTTTAAATCATTAAAGTTTACAAGAGAAAGAACATTTTAAAAATAATGGAGGAGTCCTTTGAGGAATCAGATGATAGGCCTTAGAAAAGAAATCTCTTCTTCATCCTCCTCTTCTTCTTTTCATTAAAATTAGGACACCGGAGGGAGAAAATGATACAAAATCTTTTGAAGCTCACACTTTAGCCTTGCATAAAACTCAGTATCTTCTAGCAAATAAACAAGTTAACAATTCCAATCTTAAGTCTATCCAAAGTAAACACTGGAAAACTAAGCACTTAGGCAGAACTAATGTGTATGCATAAAGAAAAGAAAAGTCAGAAGCATTCCAGTGATTCAAAAATTGTGAATATAAAAAATAAAAATTTTAAGGATATATTTTAAGTATGCTTTTATCACGTCTTGACTTTGTAATGATTTCCTTATCTGCATTAAAATGTTTTCAGAAGACACACTTTATGACAGTCTTAGACAGTTCAGTTTTTATCTCCCCCCTTTCTCCCCTCCCCCCTCTGTTTGAGACACATCTCAGGTAGCCCAGGCTAGCCTCAAACTCCCTTCCTCCTGTCTGTACAAGAATACAGTAATTACAGTGCATGCTACAGTGCCTGGGCTGTATTTCTTTTATAATGATGCAGTCTTTTGATCAGGTTTATGCTTAAATCCAATGCATGGAAAACAAGACAGGTATCCTGACCTTTGGAGAACCATGGGCTGGTCTATTCCTGACCATTATAATGAAATGTAAAATCAAACATTAAAAGAATTCTAAAAACAAATATTTTGGTCTAGGCATGAAGACCCACTTTATCTAAGCAGATTTCCTTTCTTCCCATTATCATCCAAGAACACTGCAAATCACTCTACTTCCAAAAAGATCCTGCTCTAATACAGAAATTAGTGTTTATAATCATCATTCTCATGGAGTCCAAAGAACAATTCAATTCCAGGAGTCAATTCTGAATGAGAAACAATCTCCATCTGTGAAAACACTTTAAATGGCCACTCTTTTTTTCTTTTTTTTGACAAGTCAACAAAGAGCAAACAACAAAATTATCAGCAGTGCTTTGATATTCTTACTGCTATTTTCCATAATCTCAGCAGCCAACCAAATTCTAACTAGATAAAATGCTTCCAAGAAACTATAAAATAGGGGAATGGCTCAGCAGTTAAGAGTGCTTACTGCTCTTCCAGAGGACCTGGGTTCAATTCTAATAACCCAGATCCAGGGGATCTACAATCTCTGGTTGCCAAGGGCACTCACATGTTCATAAGCACACATAAATACATACATGCAATTAAAAACAAAATAAAGCCAGGCATGGTGGCACATGTCTTACTCTCAGCACTAAGGAGGTGGGGCAGGCAGATCTCTTTGCGTTCAAAGCCAACCTAGTGAGTTCCAGGATTGCCAAGGCTGTAGAGTGAGACCCTGCCTACAATAATAATAATGGCAATTATTTTTTAAAACTCAAAATAAATATTTCATGGAAAAAAAACTTAATACTCTGGAATCTAATACACAAAGAACAATTGCTAATCGATACAGTTCTTAAAAGATACAGTAAGATTACTTACTTCCATTGGTAGTGCTACTTAAACTCATTACTCAGTTGAAGATGACCTTGAATCTCTGGTCCTTCTGGCTCCACCTCCTAAGTGCTGGTATTACAGGATGGTATCTCCAAACCCAGCAGCAACAGGGGCTCTTTTTAAATCTTTAGTGACTGGCTCAAGGAGACTGACCTTCTCCCAGAAAAGTACATTCACATACATTTGTGCATACACTGCTCAGTAGATAGCCTAGTCAGCCACCTTGAAATGACCTTAAAGAACCACTGCTTTGTCTACACAGCGGTTCTAAAGTCAACAAGCACTTTCACCCCCTAGATAGTTACAGCTCCTCTTTTAGGGTTGAGGAAACTGAGGCAGGTTGGATGGCTTGGCTAGCATAGACAGTCAGTAGTAATCAGGGGTAGGAGGAGCATGGAATCACTGGATTACTCATTTAGAATTCCACTGCTGTTAGAGAAAGGATACTGCCTGATCCTACCTGGCAAATATAGAGCAGAATTGTGTTTGAGAATATATATATATAATTGACTTGAGGGGCAAGAGACATAGCCTACAGAACAGTGACTCAAACAATGTATTTAAAACTATTTTCGCAGGCCTACCATCCACACAGTGGTTCACAACTCCAGTTCCAAGGGATCCAGGATCTTTTTCTGACCTCTTAGTACAACAGACACACACTTGTTACTCACAATTGTGTATATAAATCATTCATACACACAAAATAAAAGACATAACACCAAAGCGTTCTTTTAAAATACTTTTCTCAGGGAGATACAGGTTAAGGAATTCAGAAAACTATGAGTAGGAGAGATAGCTCAGCAGCTGAGAGCACTAGCTACTCTTTCAGAGAACCACAGTTCAATTCCCAGCACCCACAGGAGCGTTCACAATCTGTGAATCCAGTTCCCAGCATCCAATGTTCTCTTTTGACATCTCTGGGTACTTGCACCCACATGGTACACACACATAGAAAATCACTCAGACACATAAAATAATAAAATAAATAAATCACTGGGTGGTGGCAGTGCATGCCTTTAATCCCAGCACTCAGAAGGCAGAAGCAGGCATATCTCTGTGAGTTCGAGGCCAGCCTGGTCTACAGAGCAAGTTCTAGGTAGAACAGCCAGAGCTACATAGAGAAACCCTGTCTTGGGGTGGGGGGAATCTTAAAAACAAACAAACAACAACAACAACAACAAAAATGAAATGCAGAATACTGCATAAATCATAAAACACACAAACCCCTCTGCTTCCACTACTCTTTAAATCCTGACAACTAGTATAGAAAACATATAAGCACGTAAGTATTATATCATATAGGAGATAAATTTAGGGGCCCAAGAGAAAATCATCTTTATTTGACATAGGACAAGATAGAAAACAGAACATTTTTCTATTATATATATCTGTGTATTTGCTATTCTTAAAATATTAGTCAAAATTAGAGGTGTGCCTTATAAGAAAACTAAGTACAAAGCAAGAGGTCAACAAAAATATCTTAGCTTGAACTTAAGCAATTGCAGGTAAGTATTAGTAAAATTTGACTCAGAGCAAAGTACTTGATGAAGGGTAAGAATTCCTAAAATAAACACAGGGAGCATGCTGTTGATACAGCACCATGATGGGTACATGTCTGACATACATGATGCCATGGATAAATAACAGCAAGCAAACCACTATTACATGACTACATACCATAAAGTTATAAGGCATGTATGTCACTGCTAAAAGGCAAAATCTACATTAATAGATTAGCTACTAAAAACACTTTTCTGTTAGTATTAAGTGTGAAATTGGGAATTCAGGTATCTGTTTTCATTATTATACAGTTTCACACAAGTAGAACATCTCCAATTTGTTTCCACCTATCTATCACTGAACCAACACAGTTAAACAGAGCAGGACACATTTCTGTAGCACAGCAAACTGGCCTGCTTCCCAATAACAGCAGCATATTAAACTCTTACCAAATGCTAAGCACTTTCTAAGCATCTTATATATGAACTCCCTTCATCTTTCTCCATCCTCAGATGACAGTACGGGGGCTTAATGAAGATAAATAGGTCTCTGAGGTTAACAACGACAGTGGAGCCTACATACTAATAGGCATGTGACTCCTGGGCTACATCACGTCTATTCTAGGGTATTTTATTTTAATACTTTCAAGTACAATTCCTGAATTCCATCTTTCCACCCTACTAGCACCATTCACCCCAATAATAAAGTGTTTGAAGAAGTCATCAATACCTCCACATCTACTGGGATTAAAATTCACTTATAGTTTTATATCTAGGCAAGAGAAAGGGGGGAGGGAGAGAAGAGAGGGAGGAAAGAAGCAAGGGAGGTGTAATGGAAGCATAAATCTCCAAAACATTTAAGTCATTTTGTTTTGATGCTCATTCTAAGCACAATAAAAACAAACAAAAAACCCTTAACATTACCCTCCTTTGACAGAAAGTATCTTCAACCTCCCACATACTAGTGAATTTCTTCAACTAAAGTTGAAACTTAAAAAAAATTAGTTCATTGTTTTGTTATTTACATTTAATGGTTATTTTAAAGATACAAACAAAAAAATCTGGAATCTAGAAATATGAGGATTCATATGGTCATAGAACTGTATGAAGAAGCAAATAACACTTTCCATGTAACTTTGTAAAGCCACCAAACAAGACAAAACAAAAATGGAAATCCCAGTCACTGTGGAAGGGAAACAACAGTAAATATGCAGACATAGACTTACCATAGTACAGCTCACACATATCCTTGCAACATTTACATTTTGGCAATACCATTTATAGCAGCAATATTTAGAACGTAGCATAGCATGATCACTCTCAAAATTTATTTTGATAAATTAGGATTAAATTGTCTTTTAAAACCTAATGGATTCCTTGACACCATGAACATACACATAGAAGGTCTTTCTGAGAAGCCGCTATACTTCCTCAGATCTGTTATAAAATACAGAATGCCATCCAGGTCAAAAACTCCAAGACATTTACACAGCAACCAAGTGGCAACAACCACTTCAGATACAAGCATCGCTAATATATAGGTAGAAGACTACTTTGATGGCTCTTTCAGCACTAAAGACAAGTTCTAAGTTAATTTTTGTCAGAACCTTACCAGAAACAGAAAGAAAAATAAAGACAAACAAGAATATCTCCACAATAGGACCTTCAAGATACTCTAGATGAACCTGGAATTCTTAGAGAAGTGCACACATGTCTGTTTGAACAGAGTATCAACCTTAATTGTTAAGAGGGTATTACCACTATTACAGCAAGATACATGTGTGCTTACAACAGAAGACCTTATTCTCACTCTACCCAGAAAGACTTCATAATCAGCAAGACAGCCAACAGTCTACTTGGTAGGAGGAAACAGTGAAGAACACCTCCTCTGAAAAAAAGGTCAATATACAGTGAGTGATGTAATACAGTGTCACCTACCCAACTTTAGACAGTTCCCCCAAATCCTGAAATGACTAAGTTATTACTTTATCCAAACACCATCACCATCATAAGGGATAATATGCATCTATTAATGGATTTAAAATGCTAATACATCGGGATGTGATGATGCATGCCTTTAATCCCAGTACTCGGGAGGCAGAGGCTGACAGATCTCTAATGAGTTCGAGATCAGCCTGGTTTACACAGTGAGTTCCAGGCCAGCCAGGGCTACACATTGAGATTAAAATTAAAATATAAATAATCATATAATAAATTTGAATGTCTCAAAACTTCAAATATTAAAACATATTTTAATATATTTATTAAAATTAAATCAAGAATAATTTAAATATTTATCAAAATTAAAATATAATCACATAATAGATTTAAATGATAATATAAATTATAAACTTCAACTTAATTTAACTTCTAGTAGTGTTAAACTATAGAAAAATATCTTTACCTCAGTATCTAAAACTTGAAGTGAGAAAAGCACAGAAACAGAAGAATAGTTGGTTATCAAAGTACAACACCAGATCTCATGTAGTAGTTGGAAAGATCAATCTTACGTGACAGGTTGAGCATCTGCCTCTGGAGGCTCAGCAGCACACTGAAGACATGGCTCTAAGTGTTCTGACCCCCTAGTATAGTTGTAATTGTGTTGCTATTGTACAAAGGAGAGAACTAATTGGGTTACTGCTGGAAAAAGTAGCTTGGAAAAGGGAGGCAGTCAAGAATAAACTGAAGTGTTCCTTCCATAAGACAGCTGGACCATCGGAGACCACCATATCCTCACTGAAGGAAGCTTGCTTTCCTACACAGGGAAATCACACTTTCTTAAGATTCTACTAGACTATCCCAAGCAAAGTGTCAATGTGCAGTGACACTTGGGGAGGTCCCGTAGCTCACTTACCTCCAGGGGCTGCATCCTGCTCTTCCCCTTCAGGAAATGCAACCTGGCTTGGCAGACTATTCCTGGACCGAGTGACCGTCTCTAACTGGGAAGCGCGGCCCAGTAAGGACAGCTCGTCTAGCACCTCTCCCTCTTTGGCCTCGAGATCTGACTTTGAAGTGGTTAGGGGCTTTATGGTCTCAGGTGCCAGCAGCCGGTTTGCATCATTCAAACAGGCCACAGTGCCACTATCCAAGCTCAGCACCCGAGCCCTCGTCTTGGCACTATTTGTGCTGGAAGTCCTACGAGTGGCCCTCTTTTTGGCAGTTCCCTCAGGGCCTGGATGCGCTCTGTGTGTGTGGTCTGAGTCTGTGGCCCGGTCCTTATGGCCATGTTTGGGCCTGAGGGCACTGTATTTGCCCTCAGGGGACTGGCACGAATGAGACGTGGCGCTGGAGGAGCTGTCACTGCTGAACTGATGAGCAGAGTGAACACTTGGTGCTCTGCTCAAGTCACTTTGATCACTAGAGTCCTCGTCATGACAAAACACAGCACTGTGAGGCTTGCTTCCAGAGACTCCTCGAAAGGAAACATAGTCCCTGTGGCGACTGGAGTCAAAGCTACTGGCCCGTTTCTTTCCTGCACGCCTTCTGCCTGGCTTGTGGGCAGAGCTTGTCCGGTGGATTACGTTGGAGGACTTGGGTCGGACATCGCCTTCCTTCTGCTTCCCACCACTGTCTTTACAAACTCTGGAGTCTGTGGAAACGCTGGGCACCTCACTCTGCTCCGCTCTGCTCTCTGCACTTTGCTCAGATGGCCTGTCCTCTGGGAGGGTAAACTCATTTGCATGGGGGTTTTTATTGGCATCTTCTGATGCAGAGCTGCTAGGAGCAACCGGGTCAGGTCCCTCCCCAGATGCTTGAGCATCGGGGTCCTCAGGAGGTCCGCCAGGCGTACTCCCCTCTGGGACAGTCTTGTCACTGCTAGTCCTATGGTCACCAGCGCCGTGGCTCCTCTCTTCTGCTGAGTCAGCACAGCACTTCTTCCTGGCACCCCTCTTGCCCACTTTAGGTGACCCCTCATGCTCAGACAAGATGCTCTCAATGTGAGTGGAGCTGGTCTGCTCGCTTTTATAGCTGCTCAGGGTGCTGTTGGTGTCCCTGTCAGTCCCACTGCAGTAGCTCTCTGTGGACCCGCTGCTCCGTGTGCTCAGGCTCCTCAGGCTGTCCACACTTTTGTCGGCATTCAGTGCTCTGCTCTTCCCACACTTGGTGGGTGGCTGAGAATTACTTTTTCTCAGGTCACCAGCGGGCTGAAATTCTGCAGGTGGACATGACTTTTCCACTAAGGACTCTCTGGACCCTGAGTGAGGCTTAGAAGAGTCTAGCTCCCTGACTGGATCTAACCCCCGTCTCTGCTGGTAAAGAGGAAAGTCATTCAGCGAGGCATCAGGAAAAGCCACGGCAGAGCTGGAAGTCCGAGGCACTCCTCGTGGCCGGTGTTCTTTCCTGTAAGAGTGTGAATGTAAAGGTACAAGAGAAGCTACTTCTGTGTCACAGGCACTGGACAGTGACTGATCAACGTGGTGGTGCTGGCTATGACTTGGCAGGCTCACTTTGTCACTGAAGTCCCTCGGTAAGTCCTGTCCACAAGAGGACAAGGAAGGCTGAATAGAGATGAAGGAGTCATTGGAGACCAGGCGGAAGAGCTTGCGATCAGTCGCCAAATCTGTTTCAAACACATTTGAAAATGTTAACACAGATGCATGGTCAGCTCCTCTACTGTCTGACAAAGGAAAGAATTCAAAACACACCGAAAATCAAGTCTAAGCAATTCTCAAGCAGTCCCCTGAACAAGCTGGCCAGTCATCCCAAAGAGCTGGTTTGTTTCAGACCTGCACAAAGAAACCATTCTAACTGATGGAATGAACTAAGCTTTCAAATCTTTTCAGTTCTTCAAAAGGTTTCAGAAAAAGTTCTGTTGTATCTGTCTGTGTGTGTGTTCCTCCCTCCTTTCCTTTTGGAACAGGGTCTCACTATTTAACCCAGCCTAGCCTTGAGCTTCACATCCTCCTGTCTCATTGTCCTAAGTCTGCAATTTCAGGTGAGTGCCACCACAGTTGGCTACAAGCTCTATTTCTAACTTACAAACAGGTAGCATTGAGTTGCCATTCTGAGCCTTTGTTTCTTCATCTAAAGGATGTGTTATCAACCGCATAAGTAGTAGGCAGGAAATAATACTATATATATGGTTATAGTTTTATGTGCGTGTGTGTACATGTATGTATATACATATATGTATATATAGATAGATAAAATAAAAATTAATGATAACTATCATTATTGTACCTTAGGAAGTACTTTAATTCTTTTGAAAAACTAATAGAATTATTTTACAAATAAACAAAAACTGAGAATGGAGCCTCTAAAAATCACAAGCTTGGCCACCTCAGTGATGCCAGGAGCCCGTTTAAAGATGGAAAGAAATGAGTGCCTCACAGTTATCCCCTGAGCTCCACATGAAAACCACACACACACACACACACACATATACATATACATATACATATATGTGTGTATATGTATGTATATTTTTTTAAATGGAGGCTCAAGGTTGGGTAGCAGGGGTCATGGGATGGATCTGGAAGGAATTGGGTTAATGTAGGATGAATGTGATCAAAATACATTGTATGGATTATGAAACTCTCAAAGAATAAAAATATATTAAAAAAAATCATCTGCAATATGTTCTAAGTCCTCAATTAGAATATGTTAAGAATCAACAACAATAAATAATAATCCTGCATTTTCTTTCATCACTGATGAAACAATTAAGACACCTGTTAAAAAATACATCTTTCTCTGTATTACAAGAGCATTCCTTAGTCTCCATTTAAGGCAGGAGCTACTGACTTTAATTATCATATATACATCATAAATAGAATTAGCAATATAAAAAGCTCGTCTATCTACTTAAAAGCTGGTTTTTAAAATATGCATTTTCAGAAAATAAAAAGAAAATCATTAATTTATGTGTAGTGACATGTGCCTATAATCTGAGCACTTTAGGAGACTGAGGCATCAAGATCATGAGTTTGAGGCCAGGCTGGGCTAAAAATACACAAAGCAACAAAAAAAATTATTGTAACTATGTAAGCAAACTGTAAGTCGGATTCTATTCACTTGAATCTCCATGATAAAAGCAAACACTCTCACCTAAGATTAAAGAAGAATGAAATTACTACACACATGTATATACTTTAAAAGAATCTAAATCTGGGGCCAGCCACACGGCTTACTGGTTAAAGGGTAGCCTGACCTGGGTCCCCAGAACTTGTGTAAAGGAGCAAGGAGAGAAATGACTCAACCAAGTGTCCTCTGACCTCAGTGTGTGCTCTATAACACACACACAGCACTTACTAAATCTCTTCTATGAAATGGGACTTTAAAATGCTAATAATGATCAGAGCTGGAGAGATAGCTGAGCGGTTAAGAGCACTGGCTGCTCTTCCAGAAGCCGCAGAGTCAACTCCCAGCACCCACACAGCAGCTCACATATCTGTAACTCCAGTTGCAGGGATCTGATACCATCTTCTGACCAGGCATGCAAGTGTCTGTGGGAACAGACACACATGCAGGAAAAACACACTTCCACATAAAATAATTTAATAAATACTGAACATTTTTAACATTAATGACCAAAATGAACCCTCCTCAAAGAACTGTGGGTTGGGGTACGGTGTGTGCTTGTGCACACATGGAGACAGGTGTCTTCCTCATCGGCTCTCCACCTTACTTGTTGAGACAGGGTCTCACTGAACCTGGCGCTCACTGACTGGTTAGCCTGACTGGACAGCAGGCTCCGGCAGTCTCTTTCCCCATTCCCCAGCCTGGGATTACAGATGTACACTGCCACATCCAATGTTTTTACATGGGGGCTGGGGGCTGAACTCAGGTCCTCTTATTTCCACAGCAAGCACTTACCGACTGATCTATCTCCCTAACCCCTAACTCTGAGAAAGAAAAAAAATTCTCACTCTCTAGTTAATTTACTTCTAGAAACTACTGCTAAAGAATAAAGCAAGTATGTGACTAAGGTCTTACCCCAAGGGTTTCCTTTTAGATGGTTACAAAGAGTCTTAAAACATAAAATCTTTAACAATGGCCAATAAAATGGCTGTGTAAATTATACAGTCTGCTGACAGTGTTATACGGAACTGAAAACATTTTTGAACATTATGCAATACCGTGAGAAAACATGGGGAAAGAGGCAGCAGTGCAAGGAGACTACCATTCCAGTTCTACAATTCATAAACAGTGCTGGGGTATGGGAACTACCATTTCAGTTCTACAATTCATAAACAGTGCTGGGGGTATGGGAACTACCATTCCAGTTCTACAATTCATAAACAGTGCTGGGGGTATGGGAACTACCATTCCAGTTCTACAATTCATAAACAGTGCTGGGGGTATGGGAACTACCATTCCAGTTCTACAATTCATAAACAGTGCTGGGGTATGGGAACTACCATTCCAGTTCTACAATTCATAAACAGTGCTGGGGTATGGGAACTACCATTCCAGTTCTACAATTCATAAACAGTGCTGGGGGTATGGGAACGGGTTTGAAGCGATCTACTGTGATTAGCCACAAAAAGGAATTACGTCCCATACATGCTGTAACATGATGATTGATAAATGAAAGAAGCTAGCACAGAAGCCGCACATCACAGAGTTTCATGCCTATGAAATATTCAGAACAGGCGAATGCAGATGGATACCCAGTGGCTATCAGGGAGGCTGAAGAAGCAAAGATGGGTGGCAGCAGCTGCAGGTCTCTTCTTTGGTGACAAAAAAGTTCTGATAACAGGAATGTAATCTGTGCATATACTAAAAAGTACTTAAACTAGGAGGGAGAGTATTATGGCATGAAAACTGCACCACAATGAAAAACAGGACACAAAGGTACACACCAAAAAAGCGAACAGAATGTCTCTGTGACAGAAGCATGAACTACTTTACTCCTCCTACTGAACTGTTTTTTGAAGTTAACAGCTACTGCACTAACATATAAACAAAGCACAGGACTGGGCTTCCTCTTGGACTGTCTTTATCAATGACACAAACATTATTTCTCTTCAAATCTATACTCCCCCTCTATCTTTCATTCCTTTTACTAGTTAATACCTTAGTCCTTTGCAAGAATTTAGTGAAAGAGTAATGTAGTCACAGTAGTTTATTTTTCTCCTCTGATTCTCTTGAATAGTTCTTTGGAGATTTTTGTTTTCTGATTTGTGGGCTGGAAATTGAGCAGATGGCCTTAACACACACATGTGCTAGGCAAGTACTCTACCACTGAGTCACATCCCCAGTCAACAGGTTCTAATATTACTCCTTAAAATCCCTTGTCAAGGTAAGCAGTATCTTCATTGCTGTTAACAATCAAGTCACACCCTCAAACCCCTTGGGTTCAGCCTTTCTCCATCATGCTGGCATTTGCAGGCTCAGAGTGCCTTTCAGCTCACCAGCTGTTTCTGTTTAGTCTAAACATCTTCAAGTCTACTGGCTCAAGTCATAGCCCTGGGATTTTTCAGTTTCCTACCTACACTTTCTCTTTGTAGATCTCTTTCAGTTTCCTGGCACCAGGATAGGCATTCAGAAACACCTGGGATCATTTTCTACATAGTCTGTCAGGCCTGACTGTGATGGGGATGAGCTATAATTGTGATCTTGGACAGAGAAGACATGAGTGAGACGAGGCAGGGAAACTGGCAAGAACTTCTCCTTAGAAGTGAAGAATCAGGGTGCACGCCACACTCTTGGTTCTACTAATAATGCTACTAATCTTAGAACGAAGTGAATGACATTTATCAACCAAATGCTGACTACTAAGCAACAGAAGCCAAGCCACTCCTAAATAGTATTTCAACCATTTAAACAATTGCCACTAGGTGGTGACAAACCACAGCAGGGACCGTGTAAACCCCAAGCCAGCTAACCCTGTAAAATCACCCTGTTAGTGTTTGTTTACCAACTTCAGAAGAATCCAAATCAGTGTGTGTTTTTCTACTGTTTTTGCCTTGCCTTTTGCTGCTGTTGTTGTTTTGTTTTGAGAAAGAGTCTCACTCTACAGTGGAGGTTGGCTTGGAACTCACTCTGCTGCCCCAGGTTGGCCTTAAATTCAAGGCAATACTCTCTCGTCTCACACTGCCAAGTTATAGGTATGAGTGAGTCACCATGCCCAGCTCTAATTCCGTATTTGAAGTGTTGGTTGGTTAGTTTGTATTTACACAAACATCTAACCTGACTTCTTCCTCCTCATGGCTTCTCTAAGGTCCCAAAGAATCACATACTAAATATGACCCAAACTCAACTCCCAACCTACTCTCCATGCTTTGAATCTAGAACACTCCTTTCAGTTAAGGGATACCCCATCTTCCCTGCTGTCCAACCCAAAATTGTCTGAAAAATCACCCACAAGTACTACAAAATCTTATACAGTAACACTAAAATCCACCAACATAGTATCATATTAGCACACACACACACACACACACACACACACACACACACACACACATACACACACACTCTATAAAAAAAGAAACCAGATCATTTCATTCTACCCCGACCCTTACAATGATCCTCCAAATAATCTCTCAATTTCAGCATCTACCACTTTGATCAGTCTTAAGTCAGAGCCACAATAGCAGCTCATCTTCTTAGGAATTAAAACATGTATCTTTAAAAATGACCTCAGAGATTTTATACAGCTCCACCCACCCCACCCCCCATGCATACCTCCAGCCACATTGCTTTTCAAACCCCACCTCTTACAAGTGCTGTTCCCATTGCATAGGAGGGGTTCTTTCCCTCTGTTTCTCTTTCTTTAGCTCTTTGCTCCAGGTAAAAACTACCACTTCCATTCTCCATCTACTTACTCTTATAATTGAGTCACAGTAATACAACTCCATCCTGAGAACACAGGAGACATAAGGGAGTGCAAACTGTTGTCTGTTCACTGATTATTCCCAATATTTAAAAAAGTGCTCTGCACATAATAACATTAAAATATCTGTTAAATGTATACAGAATGTGATGGGTTACATGATAAACAGCAAGTTAAAAAGCTATGTGAGGGTCTGGAGAGATGGCTCCTCCATTAACAGTGCTTTCTATTCTCAAAGAGGACCTGAGTTTGGTTCCCACCTACATCAGGTGACTCACAATCAACTTTTCACTCCAGCTCTGGGGAATGCAAGGCCTTTTTTCTGGCCTCTGTGGGTAACTGCACGTGTGTGCACTGGCACGCGCGTGCAAACACACACACACACACACACACACACACACACACACACACACACACACACAAAATAAATATTTTTCAAGAACTATTTTAAAGTAGTACAATAATGTGAATTTAGCTATGACTGTGGGTAAGTTTCCTTGGGTAAGTTTCCTGTAACTCCTCTTTAAGTCATAATACGATTATCTATAAAGCAAAAATGGCAACAGTGTTGATTTTAAATGTCTGAAGTGACAACTGAGTAAATGCATATAGAGAAAACTAACCCCAAGGCTGAGACAAGCCTAGGACGACAGAACAAAGCCTGGCCATGTTTGTAAAGGAAGGGTCAGTATGGCACAACTTAGAAATAGGTTAGGGATCCTTCCCCCTATAATCACATAATCACAGAGCTGGTTACCAACTGACCTCCTAATGACCTGCGAAGCTACCTAGGCCTTCACAAAAAATAAGCATGTAGACCCTAACCTAGACAACAGTCTATGCCAAGTGAATGCCAGACATCATTATCTATGTTACTCTGTACTCGGTACTACAATGAAAAAGCTGTATTTGTATAAAGCTCAGCCTGCCAGATTATCATTAGCAAACAAAACCCTTGTTCAGTGTTTTTTAGATATACAGTAAGATAATGAGATACATGACTCCCAAATGCAGACAGGCTCAGCCCTCTAAGACTATGACCTGGTTGTCAAGCCATTACAATGGTACAAGGTACAGAAATGGATACTACACTATGCAAAGTAACTGATTTACCTTTAACTCGAAAGAAAGGAAAAGTGATTCATACCATGCAGTATGTTTAGAGGCCCTCAGGTAGGGGGAATCCTCAAAAGCACATTAACAGTGACAAGGTATTACAATCCCAAAGAGGAGAGACAGTGATAAACTTCCAAGCACCAGCAACAGACTACATCTGTAAGAAATGAAGTCTGGTGGAGGTGGTGGGCAGAAAGGCACACCTTTAATCGCAGCACTCAGGAGGCAGAGGCAGGCGGGTCTCTGAGCTGGAGGACAAGCCTGATCCACAGAGGGAGCAGGGCAGCCAATGTTACATATTAAGGAGGAAAAGAGAAATGGAACAGCAGATCACTACTAAATGCTGCATTACTTCTATACCAGTAAATTATTCTATTTTATTGTTTCCTAAAAATAACCATAGCAGACTCAGGCATGATGGCCGATGCCCGTAATCCCAACACTCAGGAGGCAGAAGCAGGAGAATTACCTAAGATTTCAAGGCCAGTCTGAGCTACATAGTGAGTTACATGTCAGCCAGGGCTGTAGAGCAACAGAATGTGAAAATAATAATAATAATAATAATAATAATGATAATAATTAAAAAAAAAAGCACTTCTGTTAAAATGTGAGAATGGGGTACTGGAGAGATGACTCAGAGGTTAAGAGCACTGGCTGTTCTTCCAGAGGTCCTGAGTTTAACTCCCAGCAAGAGATGGTGCCTCACAACCATCTCTAATGAGATCTGGTGTCCTCTTCTGGCATGCAAGCATACAAGCAAGCAGACAGAACACTCATACTTTGAAAGAAAATGTGAGTAAGGTATTCCTCAAATTCACCATACATTACAAGGTGTGATGTCACCACAGAGCATACTCTTACCTTGTTCCTCACTTCCTTCTTTGCAAAGACTAGAGCTCTGGCCCAGACTTAAACTTATGTCGTCAGAAGTCTTAGCAGTGTCTGTGTCTCCTACAAAGTTAAGAGAAACACATGAGGACATAGCACTAAAGTAAACCACAGCAAAGAGCAGACACAGACAGGAGAACTACCGACGAGAGCAGCTGCTGCACACCTTTAATCCCAGCCCTCAGGAGGCAGAGGCAGGTGGGTCTCTAAAGTTTGAGGCCAGCCTGGCCTAAAGAGTGAGTTCTGGGACAGCCAGGGCTGTTACACAGAGAAACCTTGTCTTGAAAAAAATAAAAAATAAAAACAGAGTCTAATTAGAAATGCCAAATATCTTATAACAAACCTGAAATAAAGGAAATTCCTTCCCCAGGAAGGTTAGAAACTACAACACTGTAGAGCAAAACTGTGAATTTACTTGAGGCAGATGCACAGAAAGAGAAAATTTTCTCTTTTAATGTTTTAATTATGCTCACATTTAAAAAACTTCATGGCAAATTCTGTTTTTCACAAGTTGCACTCATACTTAGGAAAGCATGTCCTATTCTGCCAAAAAGGTTTCTTATAGATCAAAACTTGTAAACAATACAAATGTTCAAATATTTTTGTGATATTTAGATGATAAAAGGATAACACTATTTAAGTCAGGCAATTTAATAAGATCCTGTTATTTCCAGAAGCAATTCTTTCATTACATTAGAATGCTGTCTTTAATACAAAGATAGAGAAATGATAATCAGTCAGTCAATGCTCAGTTAGACTGTGTCTACCTTTAATAGTTGCTGCTGTTCCAAGTCGAGAGGACCCAGATCCAATCTGAAAGCAAGACAAGAAGGAAATAAAACTGATTAACACACCACCAATCCAAAGCACAAACTATCCACATCATCTTCTCTGGCGTGCTATCGCTCACTTTTACCCATATCTGAGAACACTTGTTGGGCACATTCCATCAGAGGCACACAGCTGTTTGCTGCAGTACACACTGATGAACCATCTGCATGCTCAGGATGGACGGATGGAGCCCCGGGCCCAAACATCTGCCACCTCAAGCAAATTGCACCATGTAGTTATTATCATTTTTACATTGCATCAAGGCATGTTTGTGTTATAAACTAAAGCAAAGCCACACACTGAATCCATGGGAAATAAACTTAAGACTTCGTAGGTCACATTACAATGAAATTTGAGGGAACAAAATATACAAATATACACGGAGAGCAAAATAAAACCTTACTATTCTTAGTTCTAAGACATGAAGTACTTTTTTATAGCCAATGAGAATATTTAAAAATAATAAAAAAAAAATCTAACCATCACAAAAAAAACGAATTCTTAGCACAAACTGTAATTAGAAACCTAAACTGTAACTGATGAGTCTTTAATGTTTATATTCAAGATGGCCTGACATTTCCCTAAACATTACACACATTATTTATATAACCATAAAAACCATATAAACAAATATCACAAATTCCACAACAGTAAGAAAACAAAATACAGCATGATTTTGTCAACTAAACCAACAAGCTTCAAAACTCTCTCAGTAAATCTGTTTTCAATGGATTCAAAACAGTTTTGCATACTCAGCACTGTAAACAAAACTTAACTCATACAATTCCTTACTTATTTTACTCAACCCTGTCCCTTTCATGGAGTCACTGTAGCAGCAGTATATGAGACACGAGCTTGGAGTATAGGTAATATGCCTCTGGCAGAGCACTGGAGATGTGTGCTACAATGTGTCTGTAACTGTCACTGAAAAGGCAAATAAAAAATTCTGCATACAAATACAAGCAAAACTAATAAACTCAATGCTGCCAATAAAACCAACCTTTGCAGAGCTGAGAGAGCACTGTCAGTAAAGTACTATGCAAACAGGAGGACCAGACTCTGGATCCCCAGCACCCACATCAACAGTGGTGGCCTCTGCAAGCCACTTGCACTGACACACAAAGGCGTGCACCCCCCCGCACCTCAGCCAATGCACACATGCACAGACATGCTCACTCACACACATACATGCACACTAAGTTTTGTTATATTTTGGAGCTGTTTGTTAAACTTGATCCTCTCAGGATTTCCTAACATGCTTTAAATACACCGTAAGGCACTGTCCTGCCCCTGAAAGGAAACAGTCACAAGCCATGGTATTACCAGCTTCTAATGCTATGGAAGCCTGAGGGGGGCGAATTTCAAGTCTAAAACTAGGCTGGCTTTATAGTGAGAACCTATTTCCAAAATTCAAAACAAATAATAATAATAAATAAGCCCTTATTTTTTTTTAACTCCAAAACAAATTTCCATTCTTAAAATGACTGTAAAGAGGTTAGTTTAGGCAAGTTAAAAGGAAAGATAATATTTGCCTACTAGAAATAGGAAGACATAGTAACTTCCTAGATTGAATTTTTAAACAAGTAAATACAAACACCATTTAATGCATATCCTTCTGGGAATTTAAACTTGCAAAACAGTTTGCACTGACTTTTTAGCTATCTGCTCACAATCCTCAAATGTTTCCCTTCTCCCTCCATGCTAAGCTCCCCACTTTGTCCAGATGTTGTTCCACGTCTTCCGCTCTCTGCGAAGTGGACCCTATCCTCACCCAGAAGGGGCTACAGGACCTGGCTCTGATGACTGGATGTAAGGAAAAAGCCTCTGGGAAGGTCCAGACAGAGATGGTCTTGTGCTTGGAGAAACCTCTGCCCCTATCCTGCTACTTGCTAACCCTCCAACAGCATGAGACCGGAGCGGCAGCAGCTATGCCCACCCCAGGACCCCACAGACAAGTCTACAGAACTGAGACAATGCCAGCCAGCACACAGACTCCCACAGCAACACCATTCTCTACGTCCGTCTTAGGTGAGTCATCTACTGTCTTCATAGATAAAAGAGATCTTAACAGACACTGTGGAAATTGAGTCTTAATGCTTTTCTCTACCAAGCCCCTCCTCAAAAGCAAAGAATCCTAAACTATTTGTATACAACAGGTGATTAATAATACAAACTACAGAAATGTCACTGCAGAAGTGCTTGTGACACTGACATTTGTGACACAACAGAGGATGCACACTGTGACTCTACTATGTTTAAAGATTTTTTAATGTGTATGATGTCATGGAAGATTTTAATTTTCTTCTTTAACTCTCATTTGTTAAATTTTATAAAAGCCAAAAGAAAAAGCTAAGGAAAAATGATGGTATCTCCTACATTTAGAAGTTAAGTTTTTCATTTAAATGGTTTATATAAACAGGTCCAGCAAGGATTATAGATGTCAAGCAAGGCCACATCCTACATGGAGCCTTGCCTTTCTCTCTAGCTGGAATTACTCTTCCTCTTAAGTCAGCCCTTTTTTGGGCAATTTCAATGGCAAGTATAAGTTTGTGAATGGATTTTGAGCTTAATTCCTTAGTAACATATCACTTAACAGTGGTTACTCTGGTCACAATCTCTTTGATGATAAGACCAATTCACCATCCTAGACCAAATATTTACCTTGAATATTTGCAAGCACTAATTATTTAAAAAAAAGACAAGAGACTAACAGGAGGAGGAGGAGGTGCAGGCCAGGGGTGGAGTGAGGAGAAATGATTATTATGTATGGCAGAGGAGAACAAGGATGGGAAGGAACAGTCAGGAGGAGCCAAAGAGAAGACATGATAACTCCAGGTGGACATGGCCACCACTGGGTACAGAATACGGTCACATAAACAATCAGGATGTAGGAGAGCTACACAACAAACAAGAGAAAGTGTGCTGGTATGAACTGATAGCAACCAAGCTTAAGGGGATGGGATGGGGAGTTGGTGGGAGGATGGGAAGATGGAAGGCAGAGGGAACTGGGATTGGTATATAAAATAAGTTTGTTTTTAATTTAAATAAAAAATTAATAGAAAAAAGCTTAAAATATTTCCCATTTTAATGTAAAAATTACTATTTAAGAAAGCATAATTATCTACGGTATGTGTTTAGATGCACACATGCTTTAATTATATTCTAGAAAACTACTAGAAACCGATCAACAGAAAGAACACCAAGAGCAGGTTTCCAAAGGTGGCTGGTCCCTGCTATGTCCTGTCCTTCAAAACAAAAGGAATGGCTTTCCAAACACTAGTGGAGACAGAGTAACTCCCAGGGCTGACCTGCCGTTGCCTGCACTTGGAGGAAGGCCAGGGCTAACCAAGAATACAAACAGTCACAGTGATTATGGATTCAGCTGTTCATTCTATAAAGAGAAACTGAGGAAAAGCATGCAGACAACCGAAAGAACAACAAGCTGGGTAGCAGGCCTTTATGCCACACAAATGCTGTGCAACCTGAAACGTCAAAGTACCAACCGTTACCATGGGAACATGGCTTTTTGTCTCAGTAGTCATTTTCTGGATTTCTTTTTAATACCAAATTTCCCTATTTCATAGAGGATGGAAAGATCTTACCCTCTTTGTGCTATCATGTGCAATGATTTCACAATAAAACTGTTACTAAGAATTCACTTAAACTTGGCCAAAACTATGAGTGTGGATTAGGAAACAAAACCCATGACTCTGGTTCACAAGCTGTGGTGGTCTCACAACACTGCTTAGTGTCTGGCTAGCAGTAGGTGAATACTATGAGCCAGCATCCAGAGAACCAGGCTAAGACTGTTAAGTGAGGGGCTGAGTTCCATTCTATCTATAAAACTGCATTATCTATACACGTAAAGGAATCAGCAACTGTGAACTGAAAGTCAGCTAAGCACAAGACAGCATACTATAGAGTACCAAGAAGAAAGTCTGCCCTGGAGGCTTATAACTCACTGCACATCATACACCAGAAACTAAGTTGCAGTAAATGTAAACGCTCTGTGTGCAAAAAGGGCCAGTACCACAAGCTCTGAAAATAGTGAGGATTTGGGGGCTGTTTCCAAAGAGTTAAAGTAGAACAGGAAATGAGAACCTAGTGTCTCTCACAGACATAAGGGGTAAGGGAAGAAGAGTATTTCAATCCACAAGCTATGAATGTGACAACAGGAATGATGAAATGACATTTAGGAAGCTGTTTCCTTTTCATAATGGAAGGAAGGACTGACACAGTGACCACAAAACCCCATAATTAGGAAAAGTTCTGTGCAAAGTTCCTTTCAAAGCTTACTTCACTCCAGTGATCTGCTGAGAAAGCAAGCGGGAAAGGACTGGCTGGTGTTACAGTAAACGGTCAGGACAAGTGACAGTACATCTGAGGCTAGACATACAACCAGCCACGACCTTGTTTGTCTAAGGAAACACTTTCAGAGTTACATTCCATTAAAACTTACACAACAGAAACATGTTAAAACTGTCAGAAATAGACTTACATCCTACTTCTAGCTTTATCATTAGCATTTCTAAGACTGAGATTTGGGGTACGTTATTTTTATTTTTTAGCCATGCAGACATCTCTTTTTCCAATATGGACAAAGAAAGGGAAGGAGGACAGAGCAGCTGAGCTAGATTTCCACAGCATTTACAGCTGCTACATCAAAAGTAAACACAGGCAGAGTGTGAGGTACACAGTCAGCAAATGTGTATTAGCAGTGTAAATCATCAGTAAGAAATAACAATTGGGGGCTAGAGGGATGGCTTGGAAGGGTCCTCTGCTCTTCCAGAAGCCCTGAGTTTGATTCCCGGCACCACCCAGTGGCACACAACCATCTGTACAGGGGGTCTGATGTGTTCTTTCCGCCACTACACATACATGCAGCGTACGAAACACCCATACAAACTAAATTAAAAATAAAAATGAATAAAGATGATATATATTAATCAAAACTGATCATCAGAGAGAGAGTCACTCAACAGATGGCTCCAAGTATGACAACAACTGGCAGTACCACCAGGAAGAAGGGGACCAGGCATGATGCAGTAGCTACAGTAGCACATTCGTACCTGGTTGCTTGCGTCTAGACCAGCATAAGAATTTCTTGAACTGCAACCAACTGGAGGTGTGGCCTCTCGAATGAATTCTGACATCTCAATCCCTCCACCAGGATCACTGTACAGGAAAATGAGAAAAAGAGAGCAGCCGTCATCAACTATCATTGAGGAACTCCTTTGTGTGGGGTTAGTTCTAGCTTGCTTTCTGTAAAACCAAGAGGTCCTGCTTTTTGTTGTTTTGTAACTGGGTCTCTACTAGTTCTGTCTGTCTTTCCTAAAACTCACTATGTAGACAAGGCTGGCCTCGAAGTCACAGAGATCTGCCTGCCTCTGCTTCCCAAGTGCTGAGATGCACCATGGAGTGTGACAGAGATGCTGCTGTTTTTTGGTTTGTTTTTGTTTTGTTTTGTTTCAAAGAGTAAAATAAAAAAAAAAAAAAAAAAAAAAAAAAAAAAAAGAGTGAGGGTTAGTTTGTAAATCTGAAAGGTGGAACTATCTAATAACCATATCATTGTTGGAGGTACTCAAAACTCCTCTCACGCTGTCCCAATGAAAAACTGGCCTTAATTATAGAAAGTAAATAACTGATGATACATGACATAAAACCACTCTTGCAAAGAAGTTATTGCCTTTTGTTTCCCAAGATCAAGTGAAAGAGGCCAATGAAAGCAATGAAATATCATGCAAGCTGATGTCTCTGAGAGACGATACATCTGCCTAATTGTATAACACAAAGACAAACATACTCATGCTGGGCAAACTGTGTTTTCAGCTTTGTTTTTGTAAGTAAAGTGAACATACCTGGGATCTAAGTGGTATAAAGAACTTTGGAGGCAGAGGCAGGCAGATCTCTGTGAATTAGAGGCCAGCCTGGTCTAGAGTGAGTTCCATGACAGCCAGGGCTACACAGAGAAACTCTATCTCCAAAAATAATAATAATAATAATAAATAATAATAATAATAATGAGAAGAAGGAGAAGAAGGAGGAAGGAGAAGGAGAAGAAGGAGGAGGAGGAGAAGGGGGAGGAGAAGGAGGAGGAGGAGGAGAAGGAGGAGAAGGAGGAGGATAAGGAGGAGAAGGAGGAGGAGAAGGAGGAGGAGGAGGAAGAAGAAGAAGAAGAAGAAGAAGAAGAAGAAGAAGAAGAAGAAGAAGAAGAAGAAGAAGAAGAAGAAGAAACAAAGATTTATGTTTGCTCAGCTAGAATCCTGATGATGAAAAAAGACGCTATGTAGTAACAACAGTTCTTAGGGAAAAAAAAAAAATCAAAGGATAAGGTATTAGGCTCAAAGAGCTCATGATACCCACACACTACTTAGAAATAATGACAAAAATTAAGAAAAAAATAACAAATTTCAAAATCAAAGTGTTAAACGTTTCTCAGGAACACACTCTTAAAGCAACTCATAATCCTGTTTTTTACTGGAAATTGTTTACTTGAGTTTAAAGTCTCACCACCCAGTAGCTAATACAACTCCCTGGTTAACTAAAAAAGCAACTCCAAATTTTTCCAGTGATTTCATCTCTTAACCCCAAACTCTCACAAGATTATGTTGACTCCAATAAATGGGCTCTGCCTACCAAAGGCTATCAACATTGCTCCTCTGTGGTCATGAGACTATTTCTAGAGAAGACATTATTAGTCCAGTTCACACTAGTATGGATCAGACCAGGAGTGTCCCATAGTTGAAATAAATTTTTCTGTATCTGCTTTTTATTTAATCTTAATTTTGCGTGTGAATGTTGTACCTGTGTGTGTGTTTGTGCACCTTGTGTGTGTCTGATGTCTGTAGAGACCAGAAGAGGGTATTGTATCCCCTGGAACTGGAGTTACAGGTGGTGGTGAGCTGCCACGAAGGTGCTGGGAACCAAAGGTCCTCTGGGCTTGGTCTTAGCTGCTGAGCCATCTTTCCAGCCCATGGATCTGGTAGTCTTGATGCTATGACTTTAAAGCCTGGAGCTGCTGCAGACACTGACTGAGGACAGTGGCAGTCAACTTCAATCTCAGGGACTGCGGGAGCAGCAGCAGGCTGTGAGTCCAAGACTAACATGGCTCACATATCGAATTCTAGGCCAGCCAGAGCTTCATAGTGAGGTCCTCTCTCTCTCTCTCAAATCAAAAAACAAGCATTAGCAGCAGCTGACTGAAAGAAAGATCAGAACCTGGATACCAAAATAGGGAGCAGTGTCATGAGGTGACTTTATTCTCTGTATCCATGTGCAGATTTTCTAGTATTATAACAAAAACCCCCTTGTATGACTGGATGGCTACTCTGCTACAATCAAAAGGGGATTCACTTGCCAACACATCTTTACAAGTATTTGCTGCTGCTGCTGTTTGGTTTATATTCTTTTTATTACTAAAGGTCTCAGAACTATAATGTTCCTGGTTTGCTTAAAGACTTTAGGCCACTAAGAACTAACTTTCTAACTTGTTATACATCTACTTAAGTACAGCATCCTAGAAACTGGTTACCAAGTCCGTGGCCAATTCAGTACACCAATACCTCGTGTAAGGAGAAGAAATGTGTTCCAGTTTGTCAGCTGTTCCATATTAACTCATACCAGCTTTAAAGTCTACACTAAGAACAAGAGTGTATAATAGGACAGCTCTCATCATACCAAGTCTGCCAAGAGAAACACCCAGCAATGCCACTAGATTGCATCCTCCAGGTCAGACTCACAGGAACCAAAAGATGCAGAGCAAAATGAAGACAACGGAAGTAAACAATACCACAGGAAGGACGGAACCCCTCATCTTGTTTCGGATGTCTATACATGTATGTGTTTGTACATTACCTTTATTCAGGTACCACAGAACACATCCACTTAAACTGTACAACTCATTTTTCTATATTTCATAGTTATGAAACCATCATCATACTCAATTTTGGAATACTTCCATCACTTCAAAAACAAACACTTTTACCTGTTGCTTCTCCGGCTTTCCCATCCTCCTGCACTAGACAAACACTGACCTACTTCCTGTCTCTAGAGATGTGCCTACCCGGGCACTTCATATTGACAGAAGTAAGAAGTATACAACACATAATGGCTTCCTCCCCATAACTTACTGAAAAGTCATTCACACTGTAACATGTAATGCTTCATTTATACTTGTGGCCCAACAACATTCTACTGTATGGACAGATGTTTACTCAGTCAGAGGCAAAACTATCTTATTCACTTCATATACCATTTCTGATAAAACAAACAAACAAAAACCCAACCAAGTGGTCACAATCTAAATGATTATATCCCAGTCTTAGATGCATTTACTTTGTTTTTTTACTTTCTGATTAAATCCTCCCCAAAATTTGTAAATGCTACTATCCTTGTTTTACAGATGAAAAAGTAAAATATTGCAAAGGTAAACTCTAGCAGAAGACCTCACAGTGGACAATCTAAACTGTTGAAATGGGAAATGGCAATGTGTGGACAAATCTGCTCTTTATTTGTCCTATGCTTGGTGCAGGTATGTTTGAACATAAAGCCACACACGATCTTTCTAAGAACCTGTGCTCTCCTTCGACAACAGACATTTAGGTACTGCCAATTAGGGCAGGTTTCTTCTCTCCATCTCTGTCAGCATTGGGGTCCTGTAATTCATTACTGTGGGGGACTGGCCTGTGACAATGACTGGCAGCATTTCTGGCCTTTACCTTCCCACAACTTATGCCAGCAGTGTACCCTAATTGTTAAAACTTTAAGTCTCCTAGAATTGCCAGATGCCCAGGGGCTAGAATCACTCCCAGAAGAGAAATAGTAATCTAGAATAAACACTGGTCTCTAGTCAACATAGAGGGATAAGAAAGGAAATATTCAAGAAACAAAAAGGACAACGCCTAAAAAGGAAAGAAAGAACACAGCTCCTTTGTTTTACAAATCCTCTAATAAAATACTATCATTCTCTCTTTTCTACAGCTTACATACAGCTTAACACACAAAATGGTGATGTAGAGCATCCCTATGCATGAGACTTGCCAGGTTAGCAATGGAATGCTCAGCACACACCTGCTGAGTATAGAGGGTTACAATCCTTAAGGAAGCAAAGTGCTTTACTGCAGTAAGCAATGAGCCAAATTCAGGCAGCCTTACCTTTATGCCTTAATTTCTCTACCTGCTAAAAAATACAAATCCCAAAGCCAAGTACAAGAAAAGGCAAAGAAGCAGAAGTCTAATACGAATTACAGAGGAGACATCACAAATAGGTTTTGGATCAGTGCTATCATATCAACTGCTGATACTTGGGCTTTAGTCAAAGACACCATAACACCCTTATAATAGTAAGTTTACAATTGTAATCTAGATTATAATGATGTTTCTAAAAACAGGAATAGATTTTTAAAAAAAAATGTCCCTAAGCAGAATATATCTCTCTCAGAAACCTTAGCTAAAATCCAGCTTCATATAGATTAAATGGAGCTTTGGTTTATAGTATTATGAGTATTAGTGCCACAAGAAACAGAAAATGCAGTTTCCAGAATCCTAGCATCCAAATCCTTAACTTCTCATGCTTTAAAAATATAATAAAAGCATTAAAGATTCTAACTCTTTAAGATATAGGTTTAAGTATTTTGAACTACTGCATCACATGAGAGAGCACTGAAAAACCATAAGGCTTTATGAGTCATTTGCTCATGCAATAAACTGACTGCCCTAAGGTAGCAAGCACAGTGGCTGGCTCTAGATAGAAACCATATGCAGCTCTGATTATTTCCTTCCCTCAGAACAGAATGTATAAAACTTTCTCACAAGTAGGAAAGTGAAAACGAGATGCAAAAACAAAAGCCTATAGAACAACTCTCAACAGTCAAGTTTTAAAAAGATGGAGAATCCTCAGAACACTTAAAATAAATCTACCCTATGACCCAACTACACAGTTCCTTGGATCTGTCCAAAGGACTCAACATCCTATTTCACAGACTCTTGCTCAGCCATGTTCACTGCTGCTCTAATCACAATAGCTAGGAGATGGAAACAATGTAAATGTGCCTCAACTGATGAATGGGTAATAAAAATTAAAAAAAAAAGGTACATATGCAATAAAATACTATTTAGCTATAAAGAAAAATGAAATTTGCAAGTATATGGATGGACCTAGAAAAGATAATTTGAATGGGAGAACTCAGACCCATAAAAACAAATTCTGCATGTTCTCTCTCATGGTTCCTAGCTCCAAATCTTCAGGTGTGAACACAGTTACCACCCTTGATCGAAGAAGTTTCTCTTTATAGAGAAAGGGAAACCATCACAGAAAAAAACCCACAACTTATACAATTGCAGGGAACATCAGGGAAGAGGGGGCAGAAAGACTGACAGCCACAAGACCAGGAAGCAACAGTCCCTTAGAAATGTCTGCAGAAAGAAGACCCAAACAACGGCAATATCAATGAACATGCTAACAGGAAAGGGGGATTTCATGGGATCCCACCCACCCATAAAGAAAGAACTATAGGCAACTAATGACTGCTGGGAGGATTAGCCTTTCCCAGGGGTTGGGTACTTGGCACAAAGAGATCAGCCTGAAAAAAGTAAAGCCTTTGAAGTAGAAAGCCAAAATAATAAATTTATTTTTAATGGAGAAATGATAAAAACCTAAAAGAATTTTGGAAGACAAAGTAAGTGGAGAAAGGTGCAATACTTCAGAGGAGTACAGACTGAGAAGGGGAATCTGCGTTTTCACAGCAATTCCAACAACAATGACAAAGTCGGCATCAGAGAAAAGAGACAGCAAGATGACTATGGTACTCCTGAGCGTGAGCAAGGCTATCAAGAGCCAGGATACAGATTCTGTAACGAGAAGTCTGCGAGGCAATGAAAACTGGATCGGCACAACACTAAGGACTGCCAGGAACAGGCCACTGTGTATGGAACTCCATTTCCAACAGAAAGACACAGTGATGCCAACGAAGACAGTCGGGTCAACAGCAGTGGAGGAAAAGTTAAGTCTGACTGACCCCTTACATGACACTATGGATGAAAATAATTTCAGATAAAATTCAAATGCAAAAATTAAGTTTTAAAAAGTATACAAGAATATCAGATGTCTGTGCAGGGAATACTTCTGGAAGACACACAAGTGTCAATTACTAAAAAGGGTAAGTTTTTGTTTTTTTTTAATTATTGAATCCAGGAAAGGGTTAGAGATACAGTTCAGCTGGTAGACAACCTGCCTGACATTCCCCATGTTCTAGATTCAATCCCCAGTACCAACAAAACCCGAGAAATACCAGCTTTAAGAAGTATGGTAACTGAACCAAGTGTCATAGTACTTGCCTGTAAGACCAACACACTGAGTTGGAAGCAGAAGGACCAAGAGTTCAAGGCCATCTTCAGCTTCCTAAGTTCAAGGTTGACCTGTGTGACTTGAGATCCAGCCTCAAACCAACAAGAAAAGTGCAATAACCCTAAGAAATCTTTTTTGTTGTTGTTGTGTTTTTTAGAGATAGGGTTTTTCTGTATTGCTTTGGAGCCTGTCCTGGCACTCACTCTGTAGACCAGGCTAGTCTCGAACTCACAGAGATCCACCTGCCTCTGCATCCCAAGAGCTGGGATTAAAGGCATGAGCCACCACCACCTGGCAACCTAAGAAATGTTAAAGAAAGAAATACAGCAAACTCAGAAATGCCTTACCATTCATAAGTAATAAAACAATGGCCTAAATAAATGAACAATTTCTATTAGCCAACAAGAAAAGACAGCTCCACACATCACAGATCGGCAAAAGAAACAAGAGAAAGCTAACCAGCACCAGCGTGATGATGGAGTGCTCAACAGATGTCACAGTGAAGAGAGAGACGCCTGAATGGCAAAGAACTTCTTGTCCTTTGAGATGAAGGTTTCACTCTGCAGCCAGGCTGCTCTCAAGAGTCACAGAACCCTGCCCTAGCCTATCAAGTGCTGGGATTACAAGGTGTGTGCTACTGTGTCTGGCTAAAAGTTAAATTTTCACCAGTACCAAATGTTCATGTGGATATGAAACAATAAGGACTTTGAAAATTAACTGATAAAAATCATTTTGGTAAACAGCTTGGAATTACCCAATAAAATGAATTCAAAAATGCCCTAAATACTAGCTTGTATAAGTACACAGGCCAGCCATGCTGGAGAACCACTTTGTGAGCTGAAAATATCAGCATGGAAAGAGGGTAGGTATTTAAAATTACTGAGAAAGAAAATATTTTTTATTTAATAAACCTATTATTTAATGGTTGGGACAAACAAATCTAAACTATGATAGGCTACAATTTAAGAGCAAAACCAAAAATATATAAGTAAAAAACAAACTCAGAGTAAATATTTATATAACTGGGGAGAAATTCTCACAAAATGTGGTAGTAAACAATGAATTGGCACATAATATAAACTGTAGCATACAAATGGGCAAATGCTAAAGCTGAGGAAACTATCTAACACAGACCACAAGGGACTAACACCACAAATATGTATCTTCATCAAATGAATGGCAATTCCACTAATAGCAACTCTCTTAGAGAAGCCCACAGCCATGCTGTAGGGTATCTTCCTTCCCAAGTGCCCGGTGTTTTGTTTTGTTTCCGCAACCCTCATGCTTAATGTCTATTTTAAAATATCTTTAATAAATCTCAACTCTGAGTCATAAAAACAGTACTATAAATAGCAAAATAGACATCAGAGTAAGAAATACAAACAGTAGTAACACATGAAAATATTTCTAACCCATTAGTAATCTAAAACTTCAATAATGAGCTATTACATTTGTCAGAATACTCAGTGTTATTAAAAAAAATAATAATAGGCCACAAACCATTGGTCATAGTGGTTAAAATTCGCAAAAACAAAACAAAACTTTGGAAATTAGTGACATTAGAAAACTTAGAAAAACGTAGTCTTTCCAGTAATTACACTTCCAATAAATTAAGATTAAAATACAGTAATTTAAAATTATCGTCACAGTGACCTTTTCACAATAAAATTTAAATTTGCAATATTAAAATAACAAAAAATAGAGGGCTGGAGTGATGGTTTGATAGGTAGGAGTACAGGTTGCTCTTACTGAGAACCTGGATTTGGTTTCCAGCACCAGATGGCAGCTCACAACTATTTGTAATTCCAGTTCCAGAGAATTTGATGCCTTCTGGCCTCCAAGGGACTTGGAATGCATATGGTGTACAGACATATAAACACACAATAAGCAAAAAATTCATAATTTGTTTTAAAAACAGAAGTTAAATTACAATACATCTATACAATGAAGTTAATGTTATTAAAAATATCATAGAAAACGAGTTTTTACTACTTAAGAGCTGAGAATACTCTATAGGAAGACAAATACCCACAACTGTAACAAGCTTACAGATGCAAATGGATAATTAAGAAAAATAATGGCAGTCTGTGTTACTAAAATGAGCAAAATTGTTACAAGGGTAAAATGTATTGCTGTACACACACCATCACATCCAGAAGGCAGGTACACTGATCTCCCTACCTTGGACATAGTACACACACTGTCGCTTATATCTATAAGGCGGGCATGTTCCTCTCTTACCTTGGACCATTGCTGTCTTTCCTCCTTGCTGAACAGTTGCCTTGTTCGGCTTTGGCTCGTTGATCTGGGAACTCACTTGTGCGTCTATCTACAACTTCTCCAGCATCGAGTGCTCTGTGTAGTCGATAGTTGACCATCTTCAGAACAATGAAAACAGCAGCTACCACAGGACAATAAACTGCTACTATAATCATGGAAGAAGGAAGGGCCTTTGAGAGAAAGGAGATATACACATTTTAGAATACTTTATATTTTACTCAATTCTAGAAGTCTGTACCTAATATAATGAAGCTACACAAAGCAATTATAATACTAAGTTGCAAAGGTAAGGGATTCCACTGCCCAAAACAGAGGCCACATATGTGGCTACTTAACACTTGAAATGTGGCTTAGTTGAGACTAAGTATGAAGATTTATCAATGTGTCAATTCTTATACTGATTGCAGGTGAAAACTATAAGTGAACTATACTGTACTTGGTTAAAAATTATTGAAAATAATTCCATTTGTTTTAATACTATGACTACTACAAAATTTTAAATTACCTGTGTGGCCCATACTACATTTCTACTTCACAGTGCTGAGGAGTCCATGGGGGTGGGGGTTATAATCCAAACCAAACAGCTAACATTGCATCACCTTGTGTGTGAGTAGTCACGGTTGTGACCCAAATACAGTCCCTGATTATGTGCTCTGTAGAGAGAGGCTAGAGAGATGGCTCAGAACTTAAAGAGCACTGGCTGTTCTTCCAGAGGACCTCAGTTCAATACCCAACAACCACATGGTGGCTCACAAACATCTATAGTGGGAGTCCATGCCATCTTCTGACATAAGGCATACATGTAGATAAAGCACTCATATACATTAAATAAATAAATCTTTAAAAAAAGAAACCCTACATATTAATATAATTAAAAAGTTAAACTGATTAACCTAATTGAAAATGTTCCCAAAGAACTCATTTAGCCTTGTGATTTAAACAGTTTAAAAACCTGTTTTTCTTAAATTAATGAATACTAGATCTCGATGCATTTGGAAGATTTATCAGATAACTACTTCAAATGTTCAATTTATAAATGAAATTTAAATTAAAGAGATCGTAAGGTACAAAAAATAAGTCTCTGGAAAATGACGGTTAAAATGTTAGGGGGAAAGTGTACTTTAAGACTCTTAGTTGACTTGTATCTTTAACAAACCTAACATTCATTAAATAAAAACAAATGCCCCTGAATAATCTTCTGAACAAAAAAGCCACCATCAGATGCAGACATGGGGGGGGGGCTGACATAAACAGAGAGACAGAAACATGGAAACTGATATAAACACAAAGAGGCATAGGGAGGGACAGAGGGACAGAAAGAGACAGACACAGAGAGCAGCCGACCATTTGGAGAATTTGTAAAAGTTCTGATTAGTGCTGGATTCCTTCTGCAATTTCCACACCACAGACACATAGACTCCTTGCAAGCTAAATAGTTCAATGTCTCCATTTCCTGATAGGATATTGGGGTACACTAAATTTAAGACTTAGCCAAGATTATCCATCTAAACAATAAAGGAAGGCATATGCCTATTTCACCACATGTCACAGACCACATACCAATTCCATTTTCATAGTTCATTTAAAAAAATTCAGCCAATAAAAAAGGTCCGTTCCATCCTAACCCACTATAGTCCACATAAAGGATAAAATGGCTGACTGCACTAACTGGACAGAGGGAAATAACCAGCATCCGTGTCAAACAAATTCAATGAAAATGTTAACAAATGAAAAGAGTACTTAATTTTAAATTGCCAAAGATTGTCAATGCTCAAAACTCATCTAGATAAATGTCAATCCTCATACCCCCAAACACTAAGAAGAACAATGTTAATGTTCCTTAAACCCACTGAAATGTGAGGGTTTAAAGACAAATCAGAAAATCACTTTTGGGGAAAAAGAAAGAGAGAGAGAGAGAGAGAGAGAGAGAGAGAGAGAGAGAGAGAGAGAGAGAGAGAGAGAGAGAGAGAGAGAGAGAGGAAGAAAATCACTTTTGGAAAGACATTAACCACAGAAGACTGAAAATGAATTTTGCCTTAAGGAATTCAAGGAGACCCTTACATACTGGAAACTAGTGTCAGGTCAGTAACAGCTGTTTTTTCCACTCAAATTACAAAACTGCTGGTGTATTTTTGCATTCTGTGATTCAGGTGCCTTGGCCCTACTCAGTCAGTCCCAAAGCTTCCAGGGACAGAAGCCCCACCCTCTAAGCCACTTTTCCCACAGAGGTGGAAGTGCAGACACCCTGGGCTGCTGAGTACTCAGGAAAGCTGCTTCCCGGCCTGGGAAACTCAAGGCACTCCTGGACAGCTGGCCAGGAGTCTGAAGGGAACATCAACCTTCCCTACAGTTATGATTCACCACATTACAAGAAAAGTGTCAATGCTATCTGTCTTCCAAGGGCAAACACCCAAAAGAAGCACACACAAAATGACTGCACGTAGTCAGCTGACATACTTACACACCAAAAGGGCAAAAGAAATTGTATTTGTATTGCCTGTGTAGCGCATATGTTGAGTATTCATGTATGTGCTGGTGCACATGCATTGTGTGTGCATGCATGTGTATGCTAGACATGTCTTCCTTAGTCACTTTTCACCTTATTTTTCAAGACAGGACCTCTCACTGAAGGAGCTCACAGACAGACTGGCCAATGGACTCCCCAAGAGTTCATTTCTCCTCCACTGGTGGAGTTACATTCCCAACTCTAGTACTGGGGATCCAAAAGCAAGTCCTCAAGCTTGCACATCAAGCACTGTATGGACTGGGCTCTCCTCTGCTCCATGTCTGAATACTGTATTATATTAGATATACATACTATGTTTTCAAGGAAAGTTGTTCAGAAACACTCAGAATTCTAATTAGCAACAAGCATCAAGTCCAGGGAAACTAGGCTCTTTGGGAGAAAACCTAATGTGCAAGATATAATTGCTTAATCTAATGTTTAAAGTATAATTTGAATGCATTGCTTGACATAGCAAGTTCTACATTAAAGTCTTTATTTTTAATCTTTCTGGAAGGTAACTATTGATTTCACAATAGTTCTACAACAAATAATATTTCACAAAGTTCTACTTTTTCCAAAAAGCCTTTTTAATCTTCAAGCTATATTATTTTATTGTGAGTGTTACCTTAAGTTAATACCGAAGACAAGCCACAAGCAGTGGGCAGCCTAGATGAAAAGGCAACAGAGCAGCTGGCATCTACTGGTGGACAAACAAGGCCTTCATTAAATAACCATAAAGGTCACAGCTCTGAACGCACACATAAAGGCCTGCGGCACCATGAAGGCTCCAAGCAGCTCCTCACACACCCCAGACAGTGGATCTTAACAGCTTTCTGTTTCAGACTGTATGAACCTGCCAGGGACTAAGTTGAAGAAGGCAAGCTAGTGGGTTTTACTTCTCTGGTATGATAGCTGGTTTTGTGATTCCTGAGACTTGTGTATTGTGCAGTGATACCCAGGTATTCCAACCAGTTGTAGTGTGTGGTTTAAGGTTAACAGAATGACAGGCACATCACATATAACTGACATCAAGGGTATAAAAGAATTTTTAAGCAAACTTTTTTTTTTTTTTACTATCCATCTTTAATGTAAGACATATTTTATGCTTGCTTTGGGGGGGGGCTTCTATAATTGTAACATCCTCGTTATTTAAGAAAATGCCTTACAGATGGATCTTATGGAGGCATTTTCTCAGTTGTGGTTCCCTCCTTTCAGATGACTCTAGCTTGTGTCAAATTAACATAAAACTAGCCAGGACAGGCCCAGTAGGTGGGTGAACACCGTGTGGCATTCTTGCCATGATACAACTGAAACCAAGACAAACACAGGACCAACTGGTGAGTAGAGACTGACCAAGTAGTCCAGCTTGCAGTGTAACTGTCACAGGTCTAAGGATGAAGATGAGGGAAACACAGTGCATCATACAATAACGTACCAGAAAAACGTCTTCATTATTTTGGCCAGATCAAGAAAAATACAGTAATAACTGGTTTGGTTGCTGCATACATAAGGACAGGCATGAAAGAGCCAGGGGTACAACATACAAAGTACAGAAGCCTCCATGCCCTAGAGCATCTTCTCAGATATGATGCTGCACTTGGGTTCAGGCAAGACTTTTGGAACTGGGACAGTTGCAACCAAGAGTTTGACAACTGCAACCAAAACACCATCATGGAGCCAAAGGAGTAGGCACAGAAAAGGACCTTCAGCGGAGGAGTACTCTGTATCCTCTCAGGATCTGGGCCTGAGGGACCATGTTCATTAAGATTGTGAGGATAAAGTGTGCAGAAAAGAGTGTGACCTCCATGGTATCTGAGGGCACCTGGTGGCTAACAGTTATGTCAGGTCTATGCCATGCAGTTAGTCTTTATACTTGAAAGAACTCGCCTTCTTACAATTGAACATCACTGTTGGGCTTGCATTTCATTTCATCATCAACAGACGCATCATCAACAGACTACTGAAGAGGAAAACTCATTGCGTAGAGATAACTGTTCGTCTGATTCCTGGGAGGTCTTTTTTATTGATTTAATAGGTAAATGATTTGCCAAGATTCCAATGATACGCCAAGTGGAAACAGAGGACTGATCATCAGTGTGATCGAGTATTTTTCTGCATGTACTATATTGTATTGCATATAAAAAAAGTATGATCCATTTTTGCAGTTTAGAAAAGGGACAGGCCTCCACAGACACCAAAGGAGAGAGACAGATGGACAGGGAGAGGGGGTAGACAGATGGATATTGTGTTGTGTCTTCTCAATGCTGAGGACCAAGCAGTGAGACAGAGCCACTCACAACACAATTCAGTCCTCTCTGACCCTGGTAGCTTATTTTTAACACAAGACATTGGGATGCTCCGCCAGGAATAGAAGATTGTGGCTATGCACACTTTCTTCCTCTGGAATTACAGAAATGCTCGGGGTAGAATCAGTAGTCATCAGAAAACCCGTACTTCAGTCCCTAACATGGTCAATCAGCTTGGATGACGGGCAGGCACCTCCTTCAGCATGCTTACTGCTGTGCTTTGCTGCCCCTAGTCTTGTGCTGCAGCGAGAATGCCTCCTTAGAGCATTTCCAGACACAGCCCATCCACTGAAGTGACTCCAACACCTCTTTGGCAATCTAAGCTGCTATGTGTGGTGTGCATTTCGAAGTGCTTTAT